CCACTCACTGTGGATCTGCACTTGGAAGGCCAGGCTGGTGCTGCCCGCAGCATTGTGGGCTGTGCAGCTGTAGTCGCCGCTGTCCGCCGTGCTCAGGGCCTGCAGCTGGAGGAACCTACCCCGCTCTGGGAACTGGGTATGAGCATCTGCCTGTAGAGACCCCCAGGATGGAGAGCCCCTCATCAGGGCTGGGTCAGGCCATGCTAGCCCCCAGGCACCAGGCAAGGAGGACCAAGGAACCAGTGGGGCCGGACAGTGGCCTCTGCCCCATTCTGGGCTGGCCTGCAGCCCCTAAATTGATGCCCAGCTGAGGACCCTCTGGGGAAAGAGGCTCCCATGGGAGGGAAAGAGACTCTTGCGCCTGGAGCTATGCCTGTTGGGCATGTTCCAAGGAGCTGGACCTTCCACCAGATCCACAATCCTTGGGTCTACAGCAGCAAACTGGCCCCACTTCAGGGATGAGCACAGAGAACCTCAGTAACTGGCCCCCTGCCACACAGCCACTAAGCGTAGCTCAAAGGTACAGCACAGGTATGCATCAGAAGCCCTGGGTGCGAATCTCAGCCTGGCCTCAGTGTTCCCATCCACAACATGGAGCAACAGCAATAACAGGGGTGGGGAACAACAGGAGAGCAGTATGCAAAGCCGCACAGGCACAGAACAGGTCCTCGGCACCTGGGGTCCAGTCTGGTTGGGTCTGGGGCCTGAGAGGGACAAGGCAGTGCCCCTGGGTCCCCAGCCTGGCACCCACCTGCAGCAGGATGCCATCCCGGTGCCACTCAATCTCCGGTGCTGGGTCTGCCTCCACTGAGCACTCTAGAACCAGCTGTCCCGGGGCCAGGCCAACCACAAAGCGGGGGCCTTGGGGCCCGATGACATTTGGAGGGGCTGGTGGGGCCGGCAGAGAGGGCATGAGAGATGGACCCTCCCCTGCGGGTCCCATCCTACCTCCCTCTCCTGGCCCGACGCGGGCACCCCCTACCTTGAACCCTGACCCGGAAGCTCTTCTCGACTTCACCAGCTGGGCTCTGGGCCAGGCAAGTGTACAGCCCAGCATCGTCCACCTGGGGACGGAGCAGGGTGAGCAGCTGCCTCTGGCCTCAGCCTGCCCACCTCCTGATCTGGTTTCCTTCCTATGCCGCTAAAGACCCAGGACTGACTCAGGCCTGCTGAGTCTGCCATCCCGCCTTTCCCATCAACCCCTTCTCCCTCTGGAATATTTCTTCCCTATCATTCTCTCATCCTTGCTTTAGGGCTAGGGCAGAGCCTACCTCCTCCAGGAAGTCCCCTCTGACTGCACCAGCCCTTCTCTGGCCAGGCTAGGTATTTATCTGCAATAGCCAGTTCCAACTAGGAACTCCCGTGGGCATCATCACATCCTCACACCTCACACAAAAGTGGAGCTTGGCCAAACCTTGCAAAGTGCCACCAGGTCCCTCCCCTCCCCTTCCATCCCCAGCTTCATCCCACAGTGGGCAGGGCAGCAGCACCTGCACACCCTCCACCCGGAGCACCCGCCCGGCCCTGTTCAGGGCCTGCCCGTCCTTGTGCCAGGTGATGTTGGGTGTGGGGGTGCCCCGGGCATCACAGAGGAGCTCCAAGAAGGCGTCAGGGGTCAGCAACAGCTCTGCAGGCTGGCCTGAGTCCTCGATGTGGGGTGGATCTGCAAGATACCCCACCCTGGGTCAGCTGTGGAGGCTGTGCCTAGAGCACTGGGGGCTGGGTTCATCCGCCTTCTCCATCAGCCAGATGCTGACAGCTGGGGCCACAAATAGACAGGCGGTGGTCATATTGGAGGGTCCTAAAAATATCAGACCATGGGCCCGCTGCCTGGGACAGTTGTTTGTGCTTTAAAATCAACAAGGATACAGAAAGGTACGTTTATACTACACTGTAGTCTATCAAGTGTGCAGTGGCATGACTTCCCAAAATAAAACCTATATACCCTAAATAAAAATCCTGTATTGCTAAAAACTTCTAACCATCATCTGAGTCTTCAGTGGGTCATAATCTTTTTGCTAATGGAAAGTTTGAAATATTGCACATAATTGACACAAATTTTTCCAACATGGCACAATACTTGCAAAATCTGTGCTTGAGACCTAGGACTCTGCCCCCAGATTTCAGTGACTTTGACCCTGCTTAACAAGGTTTGGGGGACAAGACACAGCAGCCAGGTCAGTGAGACCGGTTCTCTAAGCCCCAAGTCTCCCGCGGTGCTGACCTCACCCACTGTCTCCTCCATCGCCCCTAGAGGCCCACTCTCCCATCCCTGGACCAGAGAAGCTGGTGCTGGGGGCAGGTGACCCACCCATCACTGTCAGCCGGAAATGCCTCCTTGCTTCCCCCGCCTCGCTCACGGCCACGCAGGAGTAGGTCCCCGCATCACCAGCTCCTGCTGTCTCCAGCCGCAGGCCGGGCCCCTGTTCAAGGCTCTGGGGCAACAAGGGCTCCCCATCCTTCATCCACGACACTAGGGGCAGGGGGCTGCCCTGGGCTTCACAGGGGAGGACCACCGGGGAGCCACGGACCACTGCCACGTCAGTTTGGAATTCCACTGGCTCCAGGATGGGGGGGCACTGTGCAGGGCAAGAGTGGGCATGAACCATTTTATTCCACGCCAAGTGGTCCTCACCCCTGGACCTTTGCACAGGCTATTACTATTAGCCAGCATACCCTTCTCCTCAACTATTCTTTCTCATCTCTAGTCCTCGGCTTAGATCTCACTTCCTCCAGGAAGCCTTCCCTGAACCCCCAAGGCCAGGTGAGGTGCTCCCATGGCATCCTCTCCTTCCCCTGGCATCACTAGTTGGGGAATTATAATTGTCTCTTTACAAAGCTGTTTCCCCCACTGACCTCTTGGCGTCAGGGATTACCTCTGCTCACTGCCATACCCTGGCACCTGGCAAGGCCCTGGCACACCAGTGTCCAGTGACTACTTGTAAGGTCAATGAATGAGTGAAGGAATGAATCAGAGGCTGTCTCCGTTTGCCCTGCCTTGACACCCCTGAGGGCCAACCCTTGGTTCCACCCAGATGGGCAAAAGGGAGGGGGCAAGGGCCTTTTTTTCATCCCCTGAGACCTAAAGATCTGCATGCCCACCCTCTGCTCTGTACCTTGCACCTGCAAGGTGAAGTTCCTGTCGGCCACACCTGCTGGGCTTGCAGCCACACAGGTGAAGATGCCGGAATCCGCCAGCTGCACCTGGGAAATCCTGAAGCCCTCGAGTGAAAGAGGGAAAAAGCAAGAGAGAGGGAGAAAGAGAGAGAGAGGGAGAGGGAGAGACAGGGAGGGAGAGGGAGAGGCAGCATCAGTGGAAAAGTTCCCTTCCTTTTCCATCCTGTCTCCTAAGCCTTGCCAGCCAGAGGGGCAGCTCTGAAACACACACCTGAACAGGTCCAGCCCCTTCTTAAACCTCTTTCCTGCCTCTCCGGTGCCCCCAGAATAAAGCCCAGTCTCCCATCCGCCGCCCCTGCTGCCTTCTCTGCCCACCTCACTCTGCAGCCAGACTTCCTGCTTCCCAGATTCTGGAAGCCCCACTGCCCCACCCCAGGACAGCCTGCTAGCCCCACCTTCTTCTTCTAAACAATTCCTCTTGGCCTTCAAGACTCACCAGAGTCATCTCCACTCACTGTCTCCACTGCCTGGACCCCCACTTTCTCTCAAACCTCCTTTTGCCCCAACCACTCCTCCTGAGCTGCCCTTGTCCATGTCCCCTGGAAAGTTCTGGAGAAGGATGATGGTGATGGTTGCACACAATGTGAATGTACCTAATGCTACTGAACCGTACACTTAAAAATGGTTAAAATTGTCAATTTTATGTTATGTATATTTTGCCACACACAAAAAAGTTAAGTCACATCATGATTCTTCTCTGCTGAAAACTCTCCCAAGGCTTTCCTTCTCTCCTTAGGAAAATCCAAGCCTTTTGAAGGACTTACGAGGCCCTATGTCATCTGACCTCCCCTCCCCTGACCCCACCCACCAACTCTGCTCCTAGAATACATAGCCACATGCCCACCTCAGGGCCTTTGAACCTGCTCTTCCTGCCTGGAAGCTCTTCCCGGTGGAACCCACTCACCTCCCCTTCTCACTCCAACTCTGCTCAAGTGTCACCTTATCTGAGTGCCTACTGCTGGCCACCCTAAAATAGCACCCTCCACTACCCCCTCCCAACCCTTTACTCTTCACACATATCCCTTGTGACATGTCACTTTTTTTATCTGTTTATTTTCTGCATCCCTCCCTCCCTACAGCTGCAGGAGCAGAGGCTTCATCTTGCTCACTGTTCCATCCCAGTGCCTGGAACTGCACCTGGCAAACAGCAAACACTTCCGAAGGCATAAAGACTTTGTTCAGGCACCTTCTTTCGGGAAGCCTTCCGTGATTTATTCCACCCTGGGCCAGGTTGAGTCAGATGTCATCACCTGGATCTGTGCCCCCTGCCCTGGGCTGTGAAAGCCTGAGGGCAGAGGTCTCCTTCATCTCTGGAGCTCTATTTAGGGGTGAGGTCCTCTCACGTACCCCATCAAAAACCTCAGTACATTTATATTATTTCTACTCTATAAAACATTCAGATGTGTTTTTAAGCCCAAGCTGCCTGAAGAGTGTGTCTAGAGCCTATGATCCGCTGGCTGGCAGGCTGGGGAGCCGCTCCCTTACCTGAGGGTGCGGCCCGAGCCATGGAGGTGGGTGCGCTGGGAGAGCGGGAGGGGCAGGCCGTCCTTGAGCCAGGTCATGTGGATGGGCAGGGAGCCCCGGACGGGGCACATCATGGTTACCAGCTCCCCGGGCCTGCTCACCAGGGTCCCCGCGCCCTCTGCCCCCTGCTCGATGGTGGGAGGCACTGGTGGGTGGGCAGAGAGGAAAAAGGGGGCAGTAAGGGAGTCTGAGGAAGGGAGGTGGGCCTCTCTGAGGGAAGTCCCAGGAGGTGGCACAGATACCTAGACTTTTGTCACAAGTAACCATTATGTGGCAATCATCATATGGTTCTTGGGTCCATATTCACCCCAGGTGAGGATGCAGCCCACTGCTTGGGGACACGGCCTTGCCCCGTGGCTCTCTCCTTCACCCCTGACTTGCCCGCTGTACCCATGGGCTGCCGCGATTGTGCCCCTAGTCTGAGGACTGTCAGAGGCCCAGAGGGGCCAGACTGACCTGGCTCACAGACTGGACGTGGCTGGGGCTTCACTGGGTCTCCCGCATCCGGGCCTCTCACCAGCCTCCAGATGCCCCAGTGGTGGCCCCACGGCAGCCAGGCTGCTGCCGTCCTGGACAGTGGGGCTGCCTGCCTCTCCTCGCCCCTCAGCTGCTCACCCAGCACGTTCACGGTGTGCAGCCTGGCATCCTCCCCAGCTGCGTTTTGGGCCACGCAGGTGTAGGCGCCGGAGTCCGAGGCCCTCAGGCCCTTCAGCACCAGGGAGCTGCCGTCCAGGTAGAACCTGGCATGGGGAGGGTGAGCCAGGAGCAGGTGCGTGAGGGCCTGTAGGCCCTGTGGCCTGGGGTGGGGGAGGGCACAGGCCAGGCCTTACCGGAGGTGGGGGCTCGTGCCCTGGCCCAGCGGGCTACCGTCCTTCAGCCAAGTCACATCGGGTGGTGGCTGCCCGTCAGCCTCACAGTCCAGCCGCACCTGTTGTCCCTCCAGGATGCTGTGCTCCTGTGTGGCACCCGAGCTCTGGATCCGAGGGGCCACTGCGGCAGGGGCTGTGGTGAGGCCTGGGGCAGTGGCTGGGGCTGGCATGGGGGAAGGACACGGGGGTGGCGCAGGGTGCAGACGTACCCAGCACAGCCACCACGAAGTCCTTGCGGGCCTCGGCCTGGGCGTTCTCAGCCACACACGTGTAGGTGCCAGCCTGAGCTGGCTGCAGGTGGCTCAGCTGGAGGCGGCCCCCCCGGGACACCACACCATGTGCCACATTGCTCTCTGTGGGATGGAGGGGCATGCCAGGACTTCACCTGCTCAGACCCAGTGCCCCAAGTGCCACCACGGGGCCCAGACAAAAGTCACGTGACTCCCGGAGAGGGTGCCTGGCCCCCCACACTCACAAGGCTGGAAAGACCCCAGGAACCTCTGAATCACCCACCCCTTTTTTGTGCTCATAGGGAAACTGAGGCCCAGACACGGGCAGGGCCTCTTGCCATCACATCACGGCCCTCCCCAGCCCAGATCCTTCTGATTGTTCTGGTCCTTACAACCGGGCCTTCCCTATTTCCTTCCAGTGGGGACATCTCCCAAGGAACCCCACTCCCTTTAGTGTCCAGGACTTGTTCCTTTTCCTGTTGCCATTTCACTAAATAAAGGAATAGCTGGCACTAAAAAGGTAAGGGCTGGTGTACTCACCAACAGGCATTCTGTCCTTCAGCCAAGTAACAGTAGGTGCGGGGACCCCAGTCACATCACAGCTCAGGACCAGGGGGCTCCCAGCCACCTGGCTCACAGTCTCCGTCTTGGGGTTCTCAAACGTTGGGGGCACTGCAGGAGAGAAGCCAGATTCCTAGAATCCTAAGACTGCCCATCCCCCTGCCCCCAACTTCCCTCCATCAGGCAGATCAGGGATTCCCAAGAAACACTTCCCTGGGGTTGGGAGTTGACATCTTATGCTTTGCCACTGATGGTGATGTGGGTTGTTTTATTCAGAAATATAAGTACAACCAGCAGCTGGCTATTTCAAAACATTTACAAAGCAGAGCCCAGGAGGGTATCGCTTCGCCCAAGGATGGCAAGTACTTGGTACTGCACCAGTAGGCCTTAGCCTATGCCAGACAGACATCACTAATTGATCCCAGCACTCTCTCTTGCTCAGACAGGATGACTTCACGCACCCTAGGCAGCCACTACCAGTGGAACAGAGAAGGCTGTGCTAGGATGAAACATCCTCTCCCTCAGGAAACAGACAGTCTCCCTTTTCCACTGTTCATCAAGGCAGCCATCAGGAGAAGGAGGTATGAGCTTTGAGCAGCAGATCAGGTAGCAATCATTTCCAACACTGGTATTTAATATGGCTTAGGACTGGATTCATCCACTGCCCTCCTGGTGGGGAGGCTACCGGCTTTGCCATCTGTGGCAGATAGCTGAAGTCCCTCCAATCTGTCCTTTCCATCTTGCCCAGCAGTTTTAGCTGAGCACGGGGTCACTCAGGTAGTAACTACATTTCCCAGTCTCCCTTGCAGCCTGCTGTGGCCAGCTGCCTAAGTTCTCACTAATGGGATAGAAGCAGAGGGGACAGATAAAATTTCTGCATCACTCACTTAAAATAAAAGTGCTTGCCCTCTACTGCTGCTCTTTTCTGCTTCATGGGCTGAAACAGGATGCAACATGGACAGGGACAACCCCCAAGGGGATGGGAGATCAATAAGATGGAAGGATCCTGGGTCCCTAAATTGCCACTTGGTAGGTCCAGGGCTACCCTCCAGCCTAGACACAGACCTCTGGGCTTTTGGATGAGAGAGAGAAACTTCCCTCTTACTTGATTCACTGTATTTTGGGGTCTCTTTGTTACACAGCTGAGTCGATATGCTAACAGACACAACATCTGACTCCAAGAAAATCTGGCCAAGCTTTCATCCCTTGCTTCCCTAGGTAGCTCCAAAAGGCTCCTCCTCAACCACAGCTGGAGCCACACCCAATCAAATGCCATCTATGTTCCATCCTTGGGCTGGTGGTGTAGCACCTCAAGGTGGAGATGACATGGCCCCAGGACCCCAAGAGTCTGATCTCTGAGGACTCCCATCCAGTGCCCCCACGCCAGGCACTGCGCCCAGCACTTTATAGACACAGTCATGGCAGTCCATAGACTGAGAGCTTCCTACATGCCTAACGGGCAGGTACTGCTACAGTTCCTTTTACTGAAGATAAATCTGTGGCTCAGAGGGACAAAGTCACTCTACTAAGTCCCACAGAGCAAGTCATGGGCAGAGTCCTATTCAGATCCTGGTCTTTTCAATTCCAAATCTTATGCCCTAAACACTCAGCAACACCTCCTCTTTCTGGCTATTGCCCTTCCCATCCTTGGTGGCCCCATGTGCTGCTAGGGGTCCTGTGGCGATGCTCGCAGGCTGGTCCCCAGCTTACCCTGGACCTTGAGGATGAAGGTCCGCACAGCCTCCCCAGCTGCATTGCTGACTCGACAGCTGTATAAACCTTTATCCGACACCTAGGACAGAGAGGGGGCGTGATAATAGTCAGGGTGCATGTGGCTGGAGTGGGGGCACCTAGAGTTCCCCCCAAACATCTAGGCCCCAGAACCTTCCAGAGCAAGGACTCTCCAAAAATGCTGGGCCTGCCTGGGAAGCCAAAGGGGAGATGAGACCCTCTGGCCTTTTCCAAGAGTCTCGAGATGCAGGAGGACTGATGGAAAGAGAGTGTGCAGATTCCAGAGCCCACCCTCCCCTGAGCCTGGAGGAAAAGGACCCTGGCTGTGGGGATGGAGCTGGGCCAGGGGAGGGGAGCTCCAGGCACATTTTCAGAGAAGCAGCAATTGTTCATCCAGTGAACACTTCTGAGTGTCTAATCCACCTGGGGGTGGGGGGGCATGCAGAACAGACTCCCAGAGAATCGTAATCAGAGGGGTCTGGAGAAGGCTTCCAGATCTTGGGGAAACAGGCAGGACCAGGGCACGGATCTGCTCAAAGTCACTCTGTGAGCCAATGTGGCACCAGATCTGTGGGCCTGTGTTCTTCCCACCTATCCTGCCCCAGAAGCTGCTAATCAGCTTGGGGTGAGGTCCTGCACACTGAGGAGGTGGCAGGCCCCACACACTGACACCCAGCTGCCCACCTCCCCCCAGCTCACCAAAACCAGGAGGCGACATCCCCAGATCCACCCCTGGCCGCCCGCGCCACCAGACGGCTCACCTGGGAGTCCTGGATCTCCAGCCTCTGCCCACCTAGCAGAGCTCGGGTCCGCTGTGCTGGGACCAGGGGCTGCCTGTCCTTGTGCCAGGTCACGGCCGGCTCGGGGAGTGAGTCTGTCTCACAGCTCAGGACGGCCTTGTCCCCGGCCCTCACCACGACCACATCCTGGGGGCTGCTGGGAGCCTGCTTGAAGGTGGGCGGAACTGGGGCAGGAGACGGGCCGAGTGAGGTGCCACGGCCTTTCTGGTGTCCTCCCCGCCCCAGCCCACGGGTTAATGCCTGTGGAGAGACAAGGGTCACACAGTGGACCCCACCCCAGGGACGATCACAGACCCAGGGAACTGGAAGGAGAGATGCCAGGCAGCATGCCAAGGACCTGCTGGGTGGCCTGGGAAAAGCCTGTAGCCCTCTCTGGGCTCAGCCTCCCAGCTGGCCCTCCCAGGCTCTTTCCTACACAGCGCAGGCCCTAGCTGAGTTAGAGGCCTCCGTAAGGGACCGCAGCTCCCACCCCGGCTGTGAGCCCACAGGACCCTATTGTGCATCGGGCGCACAGTAGGTGGACAGGCACAAGTGAATGAACCCGCCCTAGGGCTGGAAAGAAGCCTCCAGGGAGTCCAGGCTTGTGACATCTTGGGCCAGCTCTTCCCCAAGAGGATTCTGAAGACCAGGAGCCCCACACAGCTTCCATGCAGAGAACACTGCGATCGGTCAGGCTTGGGAAGGGCCCTTCCTGGGCCAGCTCCCACCACCGTTCTGCTGTCCCCTCCTCCCCTTCAGAGCTCACTGGGCACCAGGCACTGGGCTAAGCGCTCACACATCATCTAGTCCTTATGCCAACTGTCACCTTACAGATAAAGAGACCCGAGGCTCAGAGAAGGGCATTGATGTGCCCAAGTTCACAGAACAAGTAAGTGCACAGCTGAGTTTCAAACCCAAGTGTGTTCAACTCTAAAAACCAGAATCTGAATCACTGCCCCCCAGACACCATTGCTGCAGAGGGCACAGGTGTCCAGGCTCCCCCAGGGCCAGCTGCCCCTCTCTTGGCTGTGTTGCCCGAGGGATGTGAGGGCAGATTGAAGGAGCAGGGGACAGTGCAGGCGGGGGACGGACAGGACGTACCCAGCACGCTAAGCTGCACCAGCTTCTGGTCTCGGCCAGCGGCATTGAGAGCCTCACACATGTACACCCCGGAGTCCGATGGCTGTGCCCGAGGCAGGTGCAGCGTGTGGGTGCCTGTCGGGGGGAAGCCAGCCCCTGGCGCCAGTGAGCAGGCCCCAGCCCCCAGGCACCAATCCTACAGCCCTCCCAGACTCCCAGTCCTGTCCCAGATTTGAGGGAGCAGCTCTGGCTCCCCAACAGAGCCTCAGAGCTGGGCCACAAGCCTCAGTTTACCCACCAGGCAGGAGGAAGACCTTTTCTCCCAGGGAGAGGCCTTGGCTGTCCTTGTACCATGTGACCTCAGGGCTCGGGTGAGCACGGACATCACAGGGGAGGGAGACACTGCTGTTGAGGATGGCTGTGACCTGCTCCGAGTTTAGACCTGCGATTCGTGGTGGGACTGTCCCCATGGCCACCAGAATAAAGAAAGACACATAAAAATGCATGCTGGCGGGGGGCAGAGAGCCACAGAGGGAAACACAGGGCTTTCACAAGCTCCCACTGCTTACAGAAGCATAACTGCCTTACAGATGAGGACACGGGGGCTCAGAGGTCAGAGAGGGAGAGTCACATTTCCAAAGCCACTCCACTGGTCAGCGGCGGAGCCAGAATAAATATCAGTTTGGGTTTAAGTCCTAGACCCTGAGTGCTCAACACCGTTGTCCCTCCACCGCTGAGGCCACAGCTGCCCCACATCTGAAGGCAGAGCCCATGGCCACTGAGATGCACGTGTCACAAGGAGGCAGAGGTTGAGAGGCTGACTCCAGGGTGGGGAGACCCCCACGGGGTAGCATCTCTGAGTCTGTCTCCATAGGTCAAATCAGGCTAACCTCCTAGCTCTGCTGGCAGGAGTGAGCCCAGGGCAGGTGCTCAGCCCCACGCCAGGTACACAATAAGTGCTCAGTCACAGTGCTGTTAAGGCCTGGGAAGAGCCATTCCTTTGGCAGCATCTGAAGCTGCTTAAAATGATCTGAGGTCGGCCCTCGGTGATGCGGGTCCCCATGTGCTCTCTGTCCCAGGAGACGGCTGGCACCAGGCCGTGATCCCTGAACTCCGAGTGCAGGCCCACAGCCCAGGACATGGGGAGGACCGAGCTGCTGTGTCTGCCTGCATGCATCCCCCACGGGGCAGGCCGGGCAGACCCAGAGCACCAGCCCCTCCTCACAGGGCTCCCCCAGGAGCTGCCTGCTCAGCCCAGCTCACCTTGTACCCTGAGGGTGAACAGCTTCTCCGCGGAGCCCGCCGGGTTCTCGGCCACGCACATGTAGCTGGCGGCGTCAGCCACCTCCGCCGTGGAAACCTGTGGGCGCACGTCCCCCAGCCCGATGGCTTTGGGCCCCCCAGGAATTATTGTGAGGGCTCCCTCCCACCCAGCCCAGGCACGGCAGACACCAGGAGGAGCCCCCTCAGAAGACCCCCTTCGTCCACATGAAGCAGTACTTGTGGGCTCCACCCCACATCCATCTAGGGCTCTCTGTGACATCTGGGCAGGAAGTGAGGCTAACTCCCTGGAGCGAACCAGATGATGACAAGGCTCCGCGCCCACCTCCCCCAGCCCCAAGGAGGGCTGCTGGGCCCCAGGGGTCCCGTGCAGCTGTGTCTGGAGACTGGGTAGCCAAGGTGCTGCCTGGGGTCCTAGGTGCTGGGCATGGTCTGTACGCATCGGATGGCATTCCCATGGAAAGCTGCCCTGTGCCGCACTGGGCTCCAGGTGTGCAAGCCTGTGGGTCCCTCTCAGGTGCTATGTGCAGCCCAGTAAGGCTCCTCACGTATGATTTTTCGGTGGGCTGAGTTGAATCCCAGGGGCTCCAACATGGTTTCAGGCAAAGAGCTTAACTGAGCACCGGTAATGGCAGCTCCTTGGTCCCCAGACAAGCAGTACTGAGTCACAGCAGCTGCTGACTTTAGCCCGAGCGGGGGCCGTCCTGACCTGCAAGACTTGCCCATCCTCCAGGACCTGCAGCCGTGGGCTTGGGGAAAAAGGCAGCCCATTCTGGAGCCACGAGATGGTGGGCACAGGGTTGCCCAGGGCTGGGCACTGCAGGCTGATGGTGCTGCTGGCATTGACAGTCACCTCCTCCACCAGCTCCTCCGTGTCACCCAGGATCACAGGTGGGGCTGGGGTTGGGGAGAGGAGGGTGAGGAGCGGGTAGCCTCCCTGGGAAAGGTACCTTGGTTGGGGGCAGCATTTGGTGCCACGCACTGGCTGGGGCTCCTGCCCACCAAACCCTCCCAGGCCCTGATGCAGCTAAGGAATCTGGGGCACAGAGAGGGTTGTGGTTTTGCTCAAGGTCACACAGCTAAGCAGCAGCACACCTAAAATTTGAACCCAGTCCCATCTGGTTTCAGAGCCCAAGCTCATAGCGCCTCCTACATCACGTACATCTGAATATAGGAGGACTGCACATGGTCTCTACCTCTACCCTCTTTGGGAGGGAGACCCCCAGGGGGCCTGCACACCTGAGACCCAGGCCCCCTCCCGCCCCCAGGCTGGGTCACTCACTCAACACCAGCAGCTCGTAGTGCAGCCAGTCCTCGCCCACCTCGTTGGAGGCCTTGCATGAGTACCTCCCGGCATCCTCTGCACGGACCAGGGGGATCTGCAGGACTCGGCCCCCTGGGGGGACATGGGGACAGCGGCCTGAGCAAGGGCAAGGAAACCCGCTCTTTCCCCTGGAGGAGACCTGGGAAACATCAGTGCGCCCACCTCCACCCCACCTGTGAAATGCACAGGATCGCCTGCTCAGCCCAGGTCACGGGGCGAGGGGATCAAATAAAGCACAGGAACGGCTTGTGCTGTGTCAGGCCCTGGGCCAAGCATTTCCGTGGCCTCTGACTCTGTGTGCTCTTACTACTCCCATCTTACAGATGGAAAAACAGAGGCTTCCTAAGAGTGCCCGGCAGTGCCGAGCCCAGCTCCTCAATGAAGGCAGAGGGAAGGGGCAGAGAGCTGGGCGAACATCCAGGCAGAGGCTCTTAGGAGGCTGTGGTGGTTGCGGGTGGGGGGCATCACCTGGGACCCTCTGTGATGCCAGGCTAGGGCTAGACTCTGGCATCGGGGGGACTGTAGCTGGTCTCTAGCTGGGGCCAGGCCAGGGTCACTGTGTGTTCAGGATTCTGGGTTGGGAGACTGCTGACCCAGGCTGTGGCGGGCTTGTGACCAGAGTTAGAACCAGGGACTCATTATGTGCAGAGCCAGGGGACAGTAGCCAGGCCTGGGGAGGCCGTGGCCATGGCCTGGCGGGAGGCAGGGGCGTCACTCCATATATGAGGTTAATCTATGATCAGGCCAGAACTAAGATCAGCTGTAACCACAACCCCTATGTGCCCAGGATTAGGGGTCAGTGGCCAGGGTCAGAGGTCAACAGTGGGATTGGAGAGATCAGTATGTGACTGAGCTCACTGTGTGCCCAGGTCAGAGAGCAGCAGCTGGGGGAAGGGGTCAACGACAGCTTTCCGTAAGTGTTGCCTCTCCCAGACCTCCAAGAGGCCGCCTTTTCTTTTTGCCCCATTCATCCGAGGCAACACATCATGTGCATCCTAGGCCAGGGGACCACCCAGTCCTGGCTCTGTGCCTAGAATACCTCCCATTTCTGGCCCCCCAGAGGGCTGGGCAGCAGCCCAGGGAAGCCAGGAACTTCTAAGCTTCACCCCCGGAAACTTTTAATTCAAAACCATTCACAAAAAACCATTCTAAAATAAAATGGTTGTTTAAAGAAAAATTAAATAATCTTAAATAAACAAATACATAAAGTAATAAAAAATTTAAAAGGTCATACGAACAATGAGCTTGGGTCCTGAGTGGTCATCAAAGCCCAGTGAGAGTGTCTTCAGTGTTTGGGGGTCATGAGATCTTAATAAAGGAACTGGCCCCTCTCCAGAGACAGGGGCCAGGACATATCAGATCTTGAAGCCCAGAGGTGGACACGGCCCAGATGAGAACCTCTGTTCTAAAAATCAGAGGCACAAGGGGACCCTATTCTTGCCTTTAAACTGGGAAAGAACTTCTAGCTCTTGTTTACAAAAGGCAGCTAAGGTCCAGAGTGGTCACGTGCCCTACCGGGGGTCACACAGCAAGCAGCACACTGGAGAGCTCAGAGGACTTGCAGAAAGGCAGTCAAGGAGGCCAGCTCTGATGAGGGTGTGACCCTGGTGCCTGCCTGCAAACGTCCCGCTTCTCTGTGCAGCCCTGGCCTACCTTGCAGAACAGACACCCCATCCGTGGCCGAGAGGGGCTGGTCCTCCCTGTACCAGGTGAGCGCCGGGGGTGGGACCGCATTGGTGTCGCAGTTCAGGTAGGCGGGGCTGTTCTCCACGAACTCCCGGTATTCCGTCACCCCACCCCGGGCCTCTTCCTGCCGGGACAGGGTCTCAAAGTCTGCACTGGCGTCTCCCACCTTCTGGAACATAGGGGGCACTGGGGAGGGGGCGACAAAGCCATTAGGACACACAGCTGAGGGATGGGGATGCACCCCTGCTCAAAGAAACAGCCCCTTCCCAACCTCCCGTAGTTGCAGAAATCCCACCATCTGAGCCAATCCCTTTGGTTAAGGCAGGTTTTAAATTTACTCACTCCTTCAGCCAGTGTTTACTGAGCAACTACTATGTGGGCTCTAGGATAAAGTTCCTCCCTCTGGAGCTCACATCTAACCGACTCATTCTCGGGACACACTGATAGATTTCAGGGGAGGAAGCCAGATAGTAAGTGTTAGCCAGTGTGTGCCTTGGAGCACAGAAGCACTCAGTCATCAGCTTTTAGAACTGGAGGGGGTCCTCAAGGCCACCTGGTTTGATCAGGCACATTTCACAAAGGTAAAATGAAGACCCAGGGGGACAGTGATGTCCCCAGTCTCGAAGTGAAAGAGCCCAGGCCTAGGGTCTGGGTGTCAGACATGCTGGACAGCAATGAGGCAGGGGACGGGTGCCCCAGAACAGAGCCCTGCAAGGCCACCCCAGAAGCACTGACACCCCTCACCCCAAGTTGTGCCACTGCCTACCCGGCCCCGCCTCCTCCCACTGGCCCACGCCCCACCGCGGGGCCCCCACACACCCTGGATGAGCACGTTGAAGTCCTGGTCGTCCTCGCCAGCCACATTGGTGGCCACGCACAGGTATCGCCCTGAATCCGAGACCTGCGTGGGCTGGATCTGGAGAAGCCGCCCTTCGCCAAGTATGCGGACACGCTGGGTGGGAGTCATGGGCTGGGGGTGGAAAGAGGGGAAACAGAGGTCAGAAATGAGGGGCCAAAAGCACCCGACAAGTGTACTTAGATTTTCACACAATTTTTAAAATACAACATAAAGTGATAGGAACACCCTGACACTCCTGTAACCCCAAATCTGTGTAACGTAAGAATTGGAGAACTCAGTGGGTGAATGTAGAGTTTAATGTTTGTGAGCCTTGCTTCCTATGAAAAGCTGGATTTCTTATTAAAACACAGAGGGTGGGGCAGGGTCCAGGTGAGCTCTGGAATCATTCAGTGCTCTAACTGCCTTTTCTGGAAGGTTCCAAGCAGATGAGGGGGACCCAGGCTAAGAGCCTGAGGCCGCCAGGGGGCGCCAAGCTCACCTGTCCATCCTTGTACCAGCTGATGGTAGGCGGGGGCACGGCCCAGCACTCGCACTCCAGGGTCAAGGTACTGTTGACCTTGGTCTTCACTTCCTTCATGCCGACCTCCCCCAAGGGGTCATCTTTGGAGATGGAAGGGGGGACTGAAAAGGACAAGGGAGCCTGAGAAGCAGGCCTGGAGAAGAGGTGCTGAGACCCCGCTCTCCCCCTGGTCCCAGGCCCGTCCCAGAAACGGGGTGAGGGGGGCTGGGTCCTGAGAGCAGAGGAACAGGGACCCTGGAAACCCACCTGTTCCTGGGGAGAGATGGGTACGGAACAGGGCAGGTCTGAGGCAGGGGAATTTTGGGGGTGACCTCAGGGGGCCCTCCTGGGGGTACCAAGTCTCAAGTTATGGGGCCTCTGGTCACACAGAAAGAAGCCAGGACCGGTGTGGGTCTGGGCATCCACGTGGCCCAAGTCCTAACTCACTGGTTCCCTCCTCCTCTGTCCCTGGCCCTTAAATGACTGAGCCGGCCCTGGCTGTCCAGTGACCACCAGAAGAGACAAGCCACATGAAAGTGCCTGGGGTGCCCATGTTCCCCGGGCAGTCTCCTGCCCACCGGCTGGCACCCGGGAGGGTCCCGACTCACTGAGGACTTCCACATGATAGTTCTTCATGGCTTCCCCAAGCTCGTTGGTGACCACGCAGGCGTACTGGCCTGCATCTTCCTTCTGGGCATTCAGGATCTGCAGCCCATGAGTGCCTGCTTGGGGGGAGGCAGCGGCCAGGGTCACCCCCAGGCATTAACCGAGGCTCCCTTGCTCTGACCCAGCCCCATGACGGCCCCTTGCCCCCTCGCTCCCCGCCAACCCCCTCAAGGGCATCACCTGGGAGCAGCTGGATGTTGTTAGAGGCCTCAAACGGGGCCCCATCCTTCATCCAGGTGATGGTGGGGGAGGGAAAGGCCAGCGCCTCGCAGATCAGAGAGATGGGGTTGTGGATGGTTACAGTCACCTCCTCATCCGCACTGTCCTCCGTCACTCCCAGGATGGTGGGAGCCACTGTGGTGGCGCAGGGAGTGCTCATTAGTGATCTCCAACCCTGGGCCCCAGGGTCCAGGAAAGTCTCGGACCCTGGTACTTCCCTTCCGTGCTTTTGCTGTTCACATTACACAGACTGGAAACCGGGCCCAGAGGAACCATGCGCTCTGTGGCCAGTCTTGAATTCAGGCCTGGGTGACCCAGAGCTCTCCGCCACTAGGCAGCACCACAGCGGGAGCTGGACACCTTCCTGCCTCAATCGCCTGTGGAGTCTCTTAACATTCAGCTGGCTGCTAATTTAAGCAGAGCCTTCTCAATCCTGTTTGTGGTTCCAATTTGTACCAGTCTCTGAGCAGACGTGGGGGTGGATAGAGTTTTGCTCCCTGCTGAGAAAACTCCACTTTCGTTGGTCCCCAAATTTCTTCTGTCAGCCCCTGCTGGGGACCTACCTTTTTACCAACATCATTTTTAGAAACAGATTTTTACCCAACAGTCTGTGTCCCTCCCATCTTCTAGATCCCTGTTTCTCGTGACGAGACCACTCATGTTGACTGCCCTTGGGAGGCTGATGGCCTGAGTGTGAACTGCCACCCTGGGGCCTGGGATCTTGTCACCTCTCCAACCCTCAGGGCTTCATCAGTGACACGGGGACCAGCACATCTCCCAGCTCCTAGGGCTGTTGTAAAGATTCAGCTAGTCAGGCCTGTCCAGATGCCTGGCCCGTGGTGGATGTTCAGCTAATTACATTATTTTTGCTGTTGAAGTGGGAGGAAAAAACAGCGTTTTGTGGGAAGCTGTCTGTAAGGAGCTGGTCACCTTGGTCCTCCCTCCCGCTGGCACCTAGCATGGCCAGAAGATGCCCACCACTTACCCAGGACGCTAAGCTGGAAGTGTTTGGTCTTCTCCCCGACGGCATTGGCTGCAATGCAGGAGTAATGGCCTGCACTAGACAGGTTGGCCTGGAGGACCTGCAGGAGGGCTCCATCTGGAGAAATGCGGTGGGCATCTCCACCAGCCAGGGGCCGGCCATCTTTGAACCACGTGACTCTGGGCTGTGGGTGGCCTGTGTGCACAGGGGAAAGGCAGGTGAGACAATTCAGTAGGTTTTGACCAGGTCAGCTGAGAGGTCAGAGGCTGCTCCAAGATGGGACAGGGGACATTGATTCTCCATCAGAGGCCCACGCAGCAGGGCAAGACACAGAAGCAGCCACCAAGTGTGGTGCAGGCCCTTTCCGATGTGGTTCGATTGCCTTTTCCTTACCCAGGTTGTGGGCCAAGATGGCTTGGTACAGACAGACAAGACAGGAAGGCAAGTTATTTCTTCCATTCAGCCATCCATTTACCCAACCCACCCCATCCATCCATCCATCCGTTCCCCTACCACTTCATCCATCCATTCATCCATCCACTCACCACACCCCTAGCCATCCATCCTTTTATCCATCCAACCATATACACATATACCCACTCCCCTGTCCATCCATCCATCCATCCATCTCTTCCAGCCCACAAGCCTACTCTAGAAGCCTACTCTGTTGGGCACTGGCGATACCAGGGTGACAAGGTAGCCCTTAGGTCCTCAAGGAGCCTCCCTGGGGTACACAGATGTCACAGGACTCTATGTTCCAGTGTAGTCAGTGCTGGGATGGGGGAGCACTGGGACCTGTGAGAGCCCATGGACCCAAGGGGTCAGCCAAGAACGCCCTGTGGAGGGTCGTGGAAGCTGAGATCTATAATCAGGTGAGGAGTTGGGAAGAGTGCCTGGGGTAGAAGCACAGAGAGAGCAAAGATGAGTGGGACATGGTGCCAAGTCCAAGATGTAGAGGGACCCTCCGTGGGGAGCAGGAGGGCCGGAGGCAGGGAGCCCAGATCTCCAAGGTCCCCCTCTTTCCACAGCTGCCTTCCTCCCGCTTCTGCCAGTCCCTCACCTGTGGTGTTGCACGTCAGGAGGGCCGTCTGCCCCTCGGGCACCTTGATTGCCTCCTCCACGTCCTCGTTCTTGATACTGGGAGGAACTGGGAGAGGCAGAAAGACAGACAGTTACTGACCAGGGTTGGCCCACTCAGGCTGAACAACAACAGAGCAGGAAGCTAAGAGCCCATGGTATCTCTTCTGCCTCCCCATCCCCTCATACCTGCTGCTGGGGAGTGAGTTTAATAAGCATTTGCTACTGGCTGAGAGAGGTACCACTGCTCCTGGGAGAAGGCCCGAGCACAGGAAGATAGCTGGAGGGTACTGAAAACTCCTTGCCTCTTTCATTTTGGGTTAGTCCTGGCTATTCCTGGAAAGTTCTATGGCAGCCTCAGAAAAGAGGTTGCTGATGAGGCAAAGAAAACAAGGCTTGGCCTCTCCCTCCTGCCTGTGCCAGGCCCCCCGCTACAGCATGAGCCCTCAGTCCGGGGCCCCAACCCTAGAGGCTCCCAGGCAGGAGGGGATGGATTCCTGGGTGTCCACGAGAACAGGGCTGTGACATACCCAGGACCTCCACGCTGAAGTTCCTCCGCGCCTCCCCAGCCTCATTGCTTGCCAGGCACGAGTAGAGGCCTCTGTCTTGCTCCTGTGCCTGGGTCATTTTCAGCATCCAGCCACCTGGGAGGGAGGAAGGTGGGTCCCGGGCACAGCTATGAGTAGCCTTCTGTCCCAAGCTGGGCCCAGGCTGCCCACCAAGAAGAGGAGCATTCCAGGCATTATATTTAGATGTGTATGTGTCTGCCATCCACAGTGTTCCATTCTTCAAATAGGGAAACTGAGGCCCAGGAGGATAAACAGATGGATGGAGCCTCCTGGACATGAGACCTACACCAGCATAAGCTCGAGGACCCTGTTCTAGTAAGAAGGGTCGTCACCTGGCTACCTCCAGTTCTGTGGGTTGGCTGGGGCTAGAAGGACAGCAGTGTGGTCCTGGCTCAGATCAGAACCCCCACTCTATTCTGATGGACCTGGTAAAAGGCTGCCTTCTCCCAAAGACCTCTCAGAGGTGAACCAGCTCCTCTCAGAGGAACCCACAGATCCCCTAAGAGCAGCCCGAGGAGGGCAGGTACACAGGACATGTATCATCACTGCTATTCCTGCACCCAGGGCAGACATCACTAATTGATCGCCACTCTCCTTTCTGCTGGGCCCAGATGCAGTCTCTGAATTCATACCATCACAATGAATCTGACAGCCTCGACCAAGTGCTCAGAAGTGGTGCACAAGGGAAACTTATTTGCCACCCCAGCTTTGGCTGTGTGGAACAATGGATGGGTCCTTGAAGCTGAGCTTCAGTGGGCCTAGGGGTCCCTGCAAGATTCTGATGGGATACTGTTTCTTGGCCTCCCCATTTGTATTCCAGCAAGGATTTCCGGTCAAGACGGCAGAGTGGTAGGACCACGAGCTCACCTCCCCTCGCGGCTACAACAAAACCACAACTAACTGCTAAACCACCACCAAAAATAAAAAGACTGGAACCTAGCAAAAAAAGATCTTCTTCAACTGGAAACATAAAGAGGGAACCACAGCGGGATGGTGGGGGGGGTGCCTGTGATATATCGGGCCCCGTCCCCCTCCGAGTGGGTGACCCACAAGCTGAAGAATAATTAAGTCGCAGAGGCCCTCCCACAGGAGTGGGAGCTCTGAGCCCCACGTCAGGCTCCCCAGCCCAGGGCTCTGGCACTGGAAGGAGGAGGAGACCACAGGACATCTGGTTTTGAAGGCCGGTGAGGCTTAGCTCCCGGACCCCCATGGCCCTGGGAGAAACAGACTTCATTCTCTTGGGAAGCGTACACAGAATCTCACGAGCACCAGGTCTGAGGGCAGAGGCAGTGATTTCATAGGAACTTGGGCCAGACCTGCCTGTTGGTTTTGGAGGGTCTCCTGACAACACGGGGGACAGCTGTGGCTCACCAGGGGACATAAAAGCTGGTGGCAAACATTCCTGTAGTGTTAATCTACGAGAGCTTTCCTGGAGCCTGACATCTTGATCGGATCATTAGCACCAAGACAGCCTGTAGGCTTAAGGGCTGGAAGCCTCAGGCCAAACAACAGACAGGGTAGGAACCCAGCCCCACGTCTGCAGACTTCCTGAGCCACCAAGGCCTCTAGACACAGCCTGCCCACCAGAGGTCCAGGACAAAGCTTCACCCAGCAGTGAGTGGGAACCAGCTCCTGCCAGGAAACCTGCACAGGCCTCTAGTCCAGCCTCATCCACCAGGGGGCAGATACCAGAAATAAGAGAACAACAATCCCAAAGCCTGTAGAAAGAATCCACACACACAGGCCAGACTCTACACTGTATTTCAGCAAGGACCATCACAGACCAACTTTGTGAGGAAGATGAATATTCAGAGGAGAAAGTGCTTAGATCAGCATTTCCAAAAGTTTGTTACAGCGCTATGGGATGTTACCTAAGCGCCAGGAGAATCTTTGCTGCAGGACTTATCAGAACCTTGACTGTACAAAACGTCACCATGAATCTCCAGGAGAGCAGAGCAGAGAGCCTTCTCCAAACTTATTTAAATCCAGTTTTTTTTTTCTCTTAGAGTACATCAACCAACCAGTGTTTTGGGGTGCACTCTTGGAGGACCAACAGCTGAAATGGTTATCCCAACCAAGCAGCTCAGGATGAGAGGTCATGGGAACGTGATGGACAGAAGCAGAGGGCCAGACCTGATACCCAGATACTCCCGACTGGCACCTTACCTGCCAAGAGGTAGGTGTCCTCCCCAGCACTGATGGGCTCCTCCCCTCGGAACCAGCGGACCCCTGGGGGTGGGATGCCTGTGGCTTCACAGAGCAGCGTCAAGGGGCTGTGCAAGGCAGCAGTGACGTTGGTCAGTGGGTCCAAGTCACCGATGAGCTCTGGGGGCACTGGACACAGAAGAGGAGCCACATTCAGGATGCAGACAGTGGGGCTGGATGCTCCTTCCCCACACCCCCACCAGCACCCTCTCCCAGGACCCCCACCCCTCAGCTGCGGGAGTCTGAGCAGCAGAAGCGACAAGATCAGAGCTGCTCCTGCTGAAAGGGGAGAGTGGTGGCCACAGGCTGGGCTTTGGTGTAGGACTTGGGCCTCAGTCTCCCTGACCCCTCAGAGGGACACCTAGAACATTCAACAAGAACACGTGTGAAGTGCTAAGCACAACACAGTGCTTGAAGACTGAGCAAATGATACTGGCATTAGAGTAAAGGAGAATACAGGTGGGTCCCTAAATGCACACAGCAGAGTTCCATTCAAAAAGGAAGCCACGCTCCAGCGGGCATGGATAAGTGGACGAGGCTGGGGGTCCCAGCAATGCCAGAGGCATGATGAGCGGGGCCTCCTGGCGGGGAGGGTATAGCGGTAGAGCACATGCTTAGCACACATGAGGTCCTGGGTTCAATCCCCAGTACCTCCTCCAAATATAAATAAATCAATCAAATTACCTCCCCCTCATTAAAAAAAAGAGAGAGGGGGGCCTCCTTAAAGAATCCCTGTGCACCTCTCCCTCCTTATCTCTTCCCACTCTCTGCCTCCACCCTGAGGTCTGCAGTAGGAGCTCAATAAAAGATTGGGATCATGAGGCTGTTCTGGCCACTGTGGATGTGCTCCAGGCCTCCGCAGACTCTGTTCCCTCTGCTTGGCACTCTTTCTCTCACCCTACCACTCGATTAACTCCTCCTCAGCTTTCACATTTCAGCTAAAAGGTCACCTCCTACAGGAAGCTGCCCTGATTTCCCAGGACAGTGTTCAGGGTCTGATCTCTCCCAGACCCCCAAATTCCTCCATCACATATGAATCATGCAGGACAAAGATTGCCCAGAACAGGGTAGGGGAACAGTAAACAAGGGAGGGAGAGAGGAATGGAAGTGAGGGCTACTTGGAGCCAGTCCTGACTTTGAGAGCAGTGTTTGCAGCTTCCCCCAACAGCAGCCCACACCAGAGGTCTGACTCCTGGCAGAACAAGGGGTGGCCCCAGGAGCACAGCTGGAAGGCTATGCCTACAGACAGGCAGCCTTGCCTCTCGAGTCCAGCCCCTTCCTGCCCTCCTCCAGCTGCTGCCAGTCCTCACCCAGCACAGAGAGCGCAAACCTCCTCTCGGCCCTCCCGGCCACGTTCTCAGCCACACAGCTGTAGTGCCCAGCGTGGGCAGCCTGCACCCGCTCCACGTGCAGCCTCTGCCCCTGGTCCTGCAGCCTCAGGCCAGGCTCGGCCCCTGCCGGCTGGCCGGCCCGCTCCCACGTCACCCTGGGTGGTGGTTTCCCTGTGGCGTTGCATTCCAGGGTGGCCTCCTCATCCTGGACCACGGAGACCTGTGTGTGGGGTTCCTGGGCGCCTATAATCTGAGGGGGAACTGGGATGCGGAGAAGGCACGTCAGGGAAAGCTGGCCGCTGGGCACCAAGAACTCCCCACTTGCCAGGCTCTGGGCTCGCCTCCTTTGGCCTATCGTCCCCCTGCCCCTTGCTGGCTGTGTGACCTCAGCCAGGTGACCTCACCTCTCCGGGCCTCCACTTTGCATCTCTGTAATGGGGTACCCTGGGAATCACCTCGGGCCTGCTGTTCAGACAACGAGCTCACAGCACAGCCCTTAAGATCTGGGAGGGCTTTTCTGCCTCAGAAACCAGAGGCTTCCCGGAGCTAGAGGTCGGGGGGAGGGATTGTTCCTCAAGGGGGGTCTCCCCAAGACGCGGAGCAGCGCCTTTCTTGGTTTTATTTTCTAGAAGGATTTTTACAAGGCTGAGAGATTTAATTTCATCACTGCAGGACAAGCAGATGGAGATGCAGGTTTCTATTATACAGAAGAGTTCATATAAATTTTACATTCTTTTAGTTTCCAACTGTCTCAAGCTGTGTTTTTTTTCTTGGGGGCCGCTGGGAGCTGCCCGATCTCTCATGCTGAGGGCAGGAGCTGTAAGAAGCTGACCAGGAGGGACAGTCAAAATGCCAGTAGTCTCAGGGCTCTCATCATTCCTGTCCTTGTCTCTGCTTGGGTTCTGGGGGTGAGGGCTGCCCTGCCAGGGTGCCTGGTTGCCCACCCTTCTGGCCCCTTCTGACCCCTCCCACCTGGCTCAGGCCATCCCAGCCCGACTCACCGTGCACCTCCAGCTGCTGGTCCTGGCTGCTATTTCCTGCCACGTTGCTGCACTCACAGGTGTATGTTCCCTCCTGGGCTGGCTGGGCCTGTCCCAGGTACAGCAGCCGCCCCACAGCTGACACCTGCCCAAGGCTGGCCCCCTCTCCAAGCAGGGGCAGACCTGGATGCATGAGAAAGAAGCCCCTGGTCCCTGGGCCTTCCACCAAGAACATTCATCCTCTCGTCCATCCTGACCAACTCCTGCTCAACCCTCAGGTGTCCACTGAGACATCACCTCCACCAGGAAGCCTTCCCTGAGTATCAAAGCTGATCCTGGAATCTGCTCTGAGCTCCCATAACTCTGATCTTCTTCCTAACACAGATCTGCCTGCAGGTGGCCATCTGAATCCTTCCCTGGCCTGGGCTGTCCTGGAAGGCAGACCTGCCTCACTTTCCCCCGGGATTGTTAGAGGCTGTCCAGAGCCTGGTGCATCATAGGGCTCAGTGAAGGCTATTGAATAAATGACCCATCCATCTAGCTACACTGACCAGGGGAGGAAGACCAAGCAGCTGGCACACCTGGCAGCAAGGAGACTCCGATGCAGGGAAGGATTTTGTAGACCCCAAGGCACCGGATTAAACACTAACTTTCGTCACCTTGCACCTGTTCACAGGAGCAGCCCTCTGGGCTCTGGCCAGCCATCAACATGTGTCCCAGCAGGGGCAGGAGCCCCAGTGGCCACAGGACGCTACCTCCTCCCTCTTACGGTCTATCCTCTGTCCATACTCTGTCTCCTGGTGATCTCAAGGTCTTTCTGCTTCTAGATTTATTGTTAGGCCAGACCTCTCCTCTGAGCTCCAGACACCTACGTCTGCCCAGCTGACAGCTCATTGGGTGGCTAGCAGATCTCAAAATTAACAGGAGCCAAACTCTGGACCTGGCCCCAAAACCTGCCCCCGTAGCCTCTTCGTCTCAGTGGTGGCAGCAGCACTCCCCTGACTGTCAAGCCAGAACCTGCAGTCATCCCTGACTCCTCCTTCTTCTCAGCCCTCATCCAGGAAATCCTGCCAGCACCACCTTTGAAACTCATCCAGATTATGGCCCCCTCCCAACACCTCATGGCTACCCACCTACAGGCACCAGTATCTCTTGCCTGGAGCCCCTGCAGGAGCCTCCTCCCTGGCCACCCTGCTCCCACCCTTGCTCCCCATGGTCTATACTCATCACACCAGCAGGAACCTGCTAGAGTACAAATCGGATTGTGTCCTTTCCCTTTCCAGAGCCCCACAGTAGCCCCATCTCACTCAAGGTAAAAGCTGAGATCCTCACAACAGCCTTTGATCCAGTCCCCATCACTCGGGTGACCATGTCCTGCTGCTGCTCCTTGCTGAATCTGCTCCAGCCCCATTGGCCTCTTTGCTGTTCTCCAAACATGCTTGTCTCATTCCTGCCCCAGGGCCTTTGCACCTGCCATCACATCTGCCTGGGATGCTTTCCCCTGCAATATTCCCATGTTCATCCTTCACCTTCTTCAAGTCTGCTTGTTCAAGTGTCCCTGGACACTCAACTTAAAATAGCAAATCCAACCCCCTCCCCAGCTCCCAGCACATCTTCTCCCCCTTCCTGGCTTTTTTTTCTCCAGAGCACTTATCACGTCAGGTATTAAGTCATTTACAGGCAAACCTCGGAGATATTGCAGGGTCAGTTCCAGGCCACCACAATAAAGCAAATATCAAAAGAAAGCAAGTCGCATGAATTTTTTGATTTCCCAGTGCATATAAAAATTATGTTTACACTATACTGGAGTCTGTTAAGTGTGCAATAGCATTATGTTTAAAAAACAATGGGGGGCAGCATATAGCTCAGTGGTAGAGCACGTGCTTAGCATACACAAGGCCCTGGGTTCAACCCCCAGTACCTCCACCAAAGAATAAATAAATAAGTAAGCCTAATTACCTCCCCTCCCAAAAAAAACCCCCAATTCACCAAGCCACATACTGAAGATTTGTTCACCTTATGTGCAACAAACCTCAACTTAATAGTCATTGAATGAGTGAAATTAAAAAACAACGTGCATACCTCAATTAAAAATACTGTACTGCTAAAAAAATGTTAACCGTCACCTGAGCCTCTGTGTCACAATCTTTTTTCAACAGCCACAGATTGCCATAAAAAGGATAATAATAATGAAAACGTTGTAAATATTGTGAGAATTATCAAAATGTGACAGAGACCCAAAGTAAGCAAATGCTGCTGGAAAAATGGCGCCAACAGATTGGCTGGAGGCAGGGTTGCCACAAACCTTCAATTTGTGAAAATGTAACATCTGTGAGACTCAATAAAGCAAAGCGCAGTAAAAATGACTAACTTTTCGTTAATTATCTGACTGCCTCAACCCATCACTGCATTTCCAGAACCTAGAATGGGGCCTCGCATAGAGAGGTTCTCAATAAATACTGGTTAGATGAATGAATTCCAAATATTTATTGAGCACCTGTTTTGCACCAGGCACTGTCTTGGCCATTGCTGAATTCTCAGACAGTGCCTCATGGGGCTCACAGACTCACGGAGGAGCAAACATTGAAGGACTAGGGTAGATGACATGACAAGTTAACACATAGGGGTGGCATCAAGGAGGCTCTGCCCTAGACTGAGGTGGAGGTCAGGGAGGGCTTCCTGGAAGAAGAGGCATGAGGATCAATCTAGCTCTCACTGGCTGAGAAGGGGCTGGGGGGCCTGAAGACTCAGGGATGGAGCAAAGAGGGGCTTCAGAAGCATTATTTCCGTAACCGGCACCTGTACCCTCTAAAGCTCCCATGTCCATCTCAGCTAGGGTCTGGGGCGGCACCCAGCGAGGGCAGGGGGAGCTTCCTCCTCATGTGGGGCAATGAGGGTGGAACTGGGCAGGGGCAGCCATCCTACCGTCCTTCCTCCAGGAGATCTTGGGGAAGGGGATGCCCCGACATTCGCAGGACAGCCTGGCGGAGTGCCCCTCAGTCACAGTCAGGGTGCGGGGCTCCCGTGAGGGGAACACTGGAGGGACTGAGTAAAAGCAGAGAGGAGGTGAGGGAGCAGAAAGCTGTGGGCCCCCGGGGGAGAAGGTGAGGTGGAGGAGGGCTGTTTCCCGGGACCCACCCAAGGCAGCACTCTGCCTCCACCCAGGGCTTGAGAGCCAGCCTGACAGGGGCACGGGAGGGGCCCCGCGCAGCCCAGGAGACCCTCACCCCAGACATTTAGGTTGTAGTGTTTCTCCGAGCGGCCTGCCTGGTTCAGTGCCTCACAGGTGTAGCGGCCTGCATCCCACACCTCTGCTCTGTCCACCTGGCCGAGAGCAGAACAACCCATCAGCAGGGGCTGCACAGAGATGGGGTTACCCCTGGACATGTCACATGACCTCACTGAGTCCCACCCTCCCACTTGGGACCTGGGGGCAACGACAGCATCTGCTGCACTTCTTATACCAGGAAGTTCCTGGAAGCCAGGGCCTTGGTGGCCTGACACGGCCTGGGGACAAATCGCGGCCCTGCCAGCCTCACTCCACTTCACATCCACAGCCCAGCCCTGCTCCAAGGAGGAGGTGGAGGGGGCCCTATCATCAGGATTCAAATCCTAACCTAGGGGGAGACAGAGCTGGGCTGTGGCTTTGAAGAATGAAGGGAAGAGGAAACCAAATGGTGGTGCTCAGAGTTGAGAATGATCATATCACAAGGTGCAGAGGGGTGGGAGAAGGAGGAGCAGGCTGGAGCGGAGGGCTCTCCCCAGTAGCTTGGAGAGGTACCTCCCCTGCCCCAGCTGACGCAGTTGAGCTATTCTCTGGGACAGGTGAGGACCTCACAGGTCACACACCTCCAGCAAGGCCTTGTCTGCGGAGAGGCGGACACCCGGCCGAGGCTCCAGGGGGCGGCCGTCCTTCCGCCAGCTCAGCACGGGAGGGGGCACAGCATGGCTCCGGCATTCCATCGCCACTGACTCGTTGGCCACGACGGACACGTTCAGCTCTTCTCCAAGGATGCTCGGGGGCACTGCAGGAGTGGGCAGGAGAGGGGCTGTGTCAGGCACTTTAGTGGGGCTGGTAGGACAGGGCCACGACCTGGGCCAGGTCCTCCCCTTCCAGCAGCCAGGAGCCAACACCAGGGGATGGGACGTAGTCACTGGGATGGGGGCCACCCCCTGAGCTGCAGCCCTCTTGTCCTCCCTCAACGACCTTCAGAGGAGGCCCCCAAACTTGAAAAGGATGGTGGATTATAACGACATCAATGTCCCAAATATGACTGTACTTTAGTTGTAACAGATGTTACCACTGATGAAAGGGGACCTAGGATCTTTCTGTTTCATTTCTTACAACTGTATGTGAATCTACAATATTTTAAAAAAATTTTTTTAGTTAAAATTTTAATTTTTAAAAAAGTTTTTAAAAAGCAGGTCTCAGAACCACCTTTTTCCCTGTGACAAAACCAACCAGTGCAGTGTCGGAGTTAAGAAGGCAGGGTCCGGAGTCAGTGCTCCCACCAGGTGAAGCCCTGCGAGCTATCGTTGGTCACTCTGTGAGGCCCTGGAGACCTAACTCAGCCTCTCTGGGCCTCAGTTTCCTCTTCTGTCAAATGGGGGCCAGCTTGCGGGGCCATGTGAGATTAGACACAATGATGCAGGTGAGTGCCCGGCACAGAATATCTATTATCTTGACTCCAGCAAAGGGAAAGAGCTAGAACCAGATGCTTCCTCACCCCTCCAGCCCAAGGCTCTGCGTTTGCCAGAGTTCTTATGTTTTCCTCTACAGAGCCCCACAAAGTCCCTGATGAGGAAGTTTTTCCGTAACAGCGACTATAACTGGGTGTTTCATGAGCTTAGTGAATCCCATGACACCCTCTGAGGGCGGGTGCTATCTTATTCCCATTTTATGGATGAGGAAATGGAGGCTCAGAGAAGCAAAGCAACCAGCCCAAGGTCACGGAGCTAGAAAGTGGTGAGGTAGGATTTGAATCCAGGTCCGCAGCACTAGAGAGCAGTGTTCCTAACCACCACCCCAACTGCCTTTCCCCAAACAGATGGTTACCCCCATTTGACCCACGACAGTGAGACTGTATGACCCCCCGACTCTTGGCCTGGTGTTCCTCCTGCTACGTCCTGCTCCCTGAATACAGAGCTTCTGGCTGAGCTGGGTGGCCCACCTGCCCACCTGTTCATGATGAGGGAGTTCATACTCTAAGTCGGGGCTCTGGGGGTTCAACTGATCCCCACATGAAGGCAGCCACAGTCTCAGGCCAGACCTCCCACACCCAGCCGCCCCCTCCCTCTTTGGATGTGGCTGGGGATGCCCTAGATCCACGTTCTCGAGCTGCCGACCTGGACCTGGCAGCCTCCAGGGCCTGACACTCACTGTGGACATTCAGCATGACGTCCTGGCGATCCTCGCCCACTGCGCTCACGGCCACGCAGGAGTAGCTGCCTGAGTCCGAGGCCCGGACACTGGCCAGCGTGAGGACCCGGCCCCCAGGGAAGACCTGCGCCCCAGAAGGAAGCCCACATGAGGTCATGCACCTTCACAAGCTGGCCCTGCTGGCCGGCACACCTGGGCAGCCCGCCCCAGACCCCCAGAGCCCCACACAATGCAGGGGAGCTGTGAGCAGTACCCAGACCTTGGGACCTTTGCCACTGATGGCCAACAGCACTGGTCCTCAGAAGGAGCGCCCCGGAGCAGAGCTGTGGCTGGGGACCTTTTGAAATGGGGCTGGTCCCCAAGTGTAAGAGGCACAACAGATTTCAAAGAGTTTGTACAAAAAGAATGTGACATGTCTAGTTAATAATTTTCTATAATGGTCATGTGATGAAATGATGCTTTTGGGGTATATTGTGTTAACTAAAATGTATTATTAAAATTGGTTTCACCTGCTTCTTTTTACACATCTTAACACTGCTACTAGGAACTTTACAATTCCATGTTTGGCTCATGTCTGTGGCGTGTGGTGTTTCTGGAGACCATCTGGCTCTAGACTGTTTAGCAGCTCCAGCCAACCCTTCCGGGCCGTCACTGCTTCCCTCACACCTTGGTGCTCCCAGACCCTGACTCCTGCTCCCAGCACCTGCTGGGGTACCAGGGAGGTGAGCCGGGACCACCCAGCCCTACTGACCTGGAGGCCGGAGGTCCCTGCAGTGGACACGGGGTTTCCATCCTTCAGCCACATCAGCATGGGGCTGGGGACTCCAGTGGCGTTGCAGGTCAGCCGAACCGGGGTGTGGAGCAGCACGGGGCCTGGCAGGCTGGGCGGCAGCGTGATGCGTGGAGGCACTGCAGAGCCAGGGAGACACAGGGCACAGGCTGAGCCCCCCGGGGACGAAGCAGGCAGGGCCCCTGGCTAGGCACTCTCACAGGACCACACAGCCACACACAAGAGCGCAGGGCATGCCACTCCACAGTTCTCATCTCATCCTTCTACCTCCACCATAAGGCTTCCATAGATGGGAAACTAAGGCCCAGAGAGGGAAAGTCACCTGCCCAAGGTTGACCAGCTAGGAACTGGCAGAAGCAGCACTTGAACTTGGGCCTCTGGTCAGCATGAGGTCATTACCATGGGGATAGTGTAGGGTAACAAGGGTTGGGGAATCCTCGGGCAGGTTCTGTTTCCCAACTCAGAGGTATCAGCCTACAGGTGCCCACTCTTGGGCAGAAAATGGCCAGAAGATTCAGTTGCATCTGGAAGGCCTGAGCCATGATGCTCGGGGCCCCAGCCTCTTGTCCAGCTACCCTCTTCTCTTAGGACAGACCCAATCTCTCCAGCTCCACCTGGACACCAGCACACCTGGCCCCTCCTCTCACAGTTCTGTAAGCTCCAGGCCCCCGGCTTCCTTCCAGTTTCTCAAATTCTCTACAGCCTCAGGGCTTGGCAGGTGGTCTCCATTTAGCTATCCAGCTCTCAGAGATGCCTCCCGGGACTCCCCAGGCCAGGCCAGCACCCCAGTTCCAGGCACTCACCTTTCCTAGGTCTTATCACAATGAAACAGCACTGTGGGTAAGTGTCCAGCTACTGTGTCCTTGACTAGACTGACAGCTCCCGGGTCTGTGTGGCTCGGGGCTGCAGCCCCAGGGTCTGCCCAGGACACGCACGGGCACAGCTCGTCTTACTGGGCTGCACTTTACTGCACTTTGCAGATGTTGTGTTTCTTTTACAAGTTGAAGGTTTGTGGCCACCCTGCATTGAGCCATCTGTCGGGGCCATTTTTCTAACGGCATTTGCTCATCTTTGGTCTCTGTGTCACATTCTGGTAATTCTCCCAATATTTCAAACTTTTTCATTATTGTTGTATCTGTCATGGTGACCTGTGATCAGTGATCTCTGCTCTTACTACTACAACTCACCAAAGGCTCAGATGATGGTTAACATTTTTTAGCAATAAAATATTTTAAATTAAGGTATGTACATTATTTTTTTAGACATAATGCTACAGCACACTGATAGACTACAGTATAATGTAAGCATAACTTTTGTATGCACTGGGAAACCAAAAAATTCATGTGACTTGCTTTATTGTGGTGGTCTAGAAGTGAACCAGCAATGTCTTCAGGGTCTGCCTGTGCTCAGTACATGAGGTTAGATAGAAGATAGATAGATGGAGGAATGAATATTTGAATAGATGGTTGGGTAGATAGACAACTGGATGGTTAGATGGGTGGCTGGATGGACAGGCAGGGGGTTGGATGGATGGTTGGATCAATGGCTGGGCAGGTAGGTGTTTCCGCACATAGATGGAAGAATGGATGGATGAATGGATGGGTGGAAGGAAGGAAGATGAATGAAAGAAGGATGGATGAATGGATGATGGATGGTGGGTGGAAGAAAGAAAGGATGGATGACAGATGGATGAACAGGCTAATGGACAAATGGAAGGAAGACAACTTTTCAGACAAGGCTCCTTTTAGTTACAGGGCAGCTCACCATTGACCCGTAGGCCATACTGCAGCTCTGTGCTGCCTGCCACATTGGATGCCACACAGCGGTAGCTCCCAGCATCAGAAAATCGGGCTTGCTCAATGCGGAGAGCTCTTCCATCAGCTGACACAGCCACTCCCTTCCGGGCAGAGAGAGGCTGGCGGCCCTTGAACCAGGAGATATCTGGAGAAGAGATGAGAGATGATAGGGGCCCTGCCAGCCCTTCAGACCGTGCCGGTGTCATGGGCATCCAAGAGAGGCTTCCAGGGTGGCCACATGGTGTGCCACTATTTCAGGCACGAGAGAAAGCCAGCGTTCTCCACGAAGTGGGGCAGGGACAGAACAGGGCAGTGTTGTCTGAGATGGAACCCAAGGCAGAGAGGGATGCAGCCTGGGGCAGCCAGGAGCCAGAAGAGTCAAAATCAGCCCCACCCCATCTCCTCCTCCCCCTGCCAGAAGACCACTCTCGAGAGAGAGTTTTAGAGGAGAACATGGTGCACCCAAGGCAGCAGCCTCAGAGGGATGGACCGTTTGTATCTTCACTTCCTTATACCCTGCCAGGACCCGTCCCAGAATAGGGTTCCTCGTCACCCCCCTAGGAGAGGGCAAATACCTCCAGGGCTCAATACCCCAGACAAAGCAGGGGAGACCTGGTTCACATGGGGGACAGGAAATGGATCCTCTTTCTGGGCTCATTCTGTCTGCCCAACACCCACCCCAGCTCCCAGCCCTTTCCTCAACTGCTTCTCCAGAGCAGAGGCCCAGACAGACAGCAACTCAGAGGTCCTGGTTCTCACCCTAGCCCTGGGGCAGCCCTGTGAAGCTGCAAACTTAGCAGCAACCTGCAGGTTTGTTTCAGGCACCAGCTCTGGGCCATGGTGGGGACTGGTGCTTAATAGGCACTGGATGAACAGCTGGTGAGAAGGAAGAGAGGAACATGGGGGTGGGGGTGCTAATTTCATCCTGTTTGGCGCACAGCCAGAGCGGTCCCTGGCACTGGTGGGCCTCTTTAGATGGGGAACTGGCGCTGGCCGGAGGCGGCTTTCAGCCCAGAGGAGAGGTCTTACCAGGAGAAGGCACACCCGAAGCCAGACACTCCAAGGTTACGGAGGAATTTTCCAGCACTGCTTTGTTGACCGGGCCTGGCTCGATGTTGGGGGGCACTGGGGAGACAAGAGAGCCCTGGCTTGGGAGGTGCAGGCTCTGGGTGGCTCATCTCAGCCACTCCCAACGCCCCTCCCCGGCCTTCCCAAAGGGGCTGGACAACAAGTCTCCAAAACGGCTCAAGTCCGCTGACCAGGAAACGCCACTCCTGACCCAAGTGCAAGGCATTGGGAGGCAACCTGCGTGGCAGTTGTACGACAGGGACGACCCTGGTGCCCGACCCCCAGGAACAGACATCAGCACAGCAGGGAGGTGGAGCCCAGGCAGCCACGAAGAGTGACAAGACTGACGAGAGCGGGGATCTGCTCAGACACACAACAACGTAAATGAACCCCCATATGAACAAGCAAAGGCAAGTACGAGTGAGACCAAGGCCGTCTACTGACAATCCATCCGGCAGGAAACAACCAGAAGGGGCCACAGAGCAAATGACCCTCTACTTCTAAAGTTAAGGACACGACATTGATTTTAGAACCCCAAGCCCTCCCAGACCCCCCACGGCAGCCCCGCGAGCCCTCAGTCACCCACCATCCCGGGCCCAGGCTCTGCCTCCGCCCGTGTCCTCACCCAGCACCTTGAGCGCCACGTCCCTCTTGCTCTCCCCAGCCAGGTTAGTGGCAACACAAGTGTAGATGCCTTCGTCCCTCAGGTCCACCTTCTCAATCTGGGCGGGGAGGAGGGCGGAGAGGAGGAGGGGCAAGTGTATGCCAGGGATGTGGGCGGGGCCAGGGGCCCAGAACCAGAAGGTGGTCAGAGCGACACTGGGATGTGGTGAGTGGCCAGGCTGCTGTTGACCCCAGGGCAGGAGAAGTGAGTCGTGGGCAAGGCTTGGCTCTGGGGGTGGAGCTCTGAGCCATGCATTCAGATTCCAGGGGATCCCTCTGATCTTGGGGATACACCCCTTCCCCTACTTTCTCCCTCTGACAGCTGAAACACCAGGGACCTCAACTAGGCTAAGGGCTCCCTTCTTTCCTCAGACTCAGCACCCCAGTGAGCGTTTCCGGGATAAGTGGACTCTGTTCGTCCTGCCCCCAGGCTGCCAGGGCCCTGGTCAGGCTCTACAGGGCCCCTAAAAAGCATCCCCTCCACTTGTGCCAGGTTGGCCCGCCAGCCCTGGGACCCTTGCATGTACCTGCAGGTTCCCCCCCGAGGCCGCCAGGGCCACCCCATCCTTCCACCAGCGGAGGCTTGGGGTAGGCACCCCAGTCCCTGCACATTGGAGGGTCACAGTCTGCAGGAAAGGGGCTGTGATGTTCTCACCCCCAATGATGACCACCGATGGGAGCTCTGGGCAGAGGAAGAGAGAAGTAGGGAGGGCCTGGTGAGGGTCAGGAGGGGTGTAGTGGGCACCCAGAAACTTCCTCAATGCCTGGGGGGTGAGGGAGTGACCTTGCAGAACTGTCCTCTAGCCTCTCCCCACTCAACCCACCAGACACCCCGCCTTGGGGCAAGAGCACCAGACTGGGAGCCAGTAGAGCAAGTCTTTCCCTTTAAAATTCTCCCATCCGTCATCCATCATCCAACCATCATCCATCCAGACATCCGTGTGGGCATTAACCATCTACTCTGTGCCCCACACTGTACTAGGCACAGGAACACATCAGAGAAAGCTCTGCACCACCCTCAGAGCTCCCAAACTGCGCCATGGAGATGAGCAACCAAATAAGCAATCCCAATACAGTGGGTGGGAAGCTATGGCCATGAGAGGCTGGGCAGTGCAGATTATAACCATGGTAGAATTAAGGAGGGCTTCCTGGAGGAAGGGGTGTTTTAGGACAGAACTGAAAGGTAGGGAGGAGCTAAGCAGGCAAAGAGGAAGAGGCAGAGGGAACAGCATTTGCAGGCTTAAATAAAGGTTAAGAAAGCCAATGTATTTTAAGAGTTGAAGTTCAGTGTGCTCAGCGTACAGCAAGTGCCAGGGAACAGGGGGTGGGGTTGGGGGAAGCTGAGGAGGGGACTAAGGGTCTGTGGACTGGGCAGATGACAAGTGTGGTGAGCAGCTAAGACCACCCTCTCACTCCTGTGTCTCTTTGGGAAGCTGGGAAGTCCAGCCTAGAGAAGACTGGCTCCATGACCTTCCCACGTCCCCAGGCCTGACAAAAGCACAGAAGACCATGACCTCTGCCTTCACCCTCCAGCATCTCCAGCTACCACTGCCCCAGAACCCCAGGCCTCCCTCACCTTGCACAGACAGCTCCACCTCGGCCGCAGCAGTGCCCGCTTCATTGGTAGCCTGGCAGGCAAAGAGGCCCGCATGGTCCAGCTCCACATGGTCGATGTGCAGGGTGGTCCCCTGCGAGGCCACCTGCACACCGGCCAGCTCCTCGGCCGGGTGGCCATTCTGAAGCCACCTAAAGTGTGTGGAGCGAGACAGGTCAGCCTGAGGCCAGGAAAGGCAGGGGTGGCAAGACAAGCCAGGGGGCCTGGCAGCATCTCTCCTGCTCTCACATCCCTGGCTCCGTGGCCTCTTTCTTGCCCCTGGGAAGGAGAGCATCTCCCATCCCCACCCATCCCACAAGCATGCGCTCTCTACTCCCACCTCAGCCCCCCAGTTCTGGCCTCCATCGCCCAATACGCACTGGATAGCGGGCAACGGGGAGCCCGAGGCCTGGCAGGGAAGTTCCAGGGGCTGTCCCACGAGGGTGGTCACCTGGCCCAAGCCTTCAGCCACCAGGAGCTGCGGGGGCACTGCAGGCAGGAGCCACCACTGGGTGTTCGGGAAAATTCCAGTCCCAGTGCCACCAGACCAAGGCCAGCCTCACCTCACCCTCCAAGTCCCCCCATAAATGGGCCCTCCTCCAGGAGGCCTTCCAGGACTACCAGGTCGCGTGAGTGGTCCCCCGACCTCCCCGCACGCTTGGTCTGTTTACTCGGCGTCTCTTCCCACCAGACCCAGGGCTCAGGAGTCCTGTCTGCCTGTCCCCTGCCTCATCTCAGAGTTAGTGGCTGAGAAGTGTCTGTGGAGTGGAAGCAGCAGGAAAAGGACCCACCCACCCGTCCAGAACCCGCGCCCACCACCCAGCTTTGGGCCTCAGGGAGCTCTCCATAAATGTCCATCCCACTGATTCAGAGCGTCTCGCAGAAGGCAGAGCTGTGTCCTTCATCCTGGCTGACCTGACACAGCGTCCTGGGCAGGAGCAGGGACCCTTGATCCCAGGAGCCAGCCCTGCCCCCTCCAAGCCCCAAGGGGCCCCCAGCCCAGGTCTCAGTGTCCTCATCTGTCTCCTTTTGTGTCTCATGCAACTCAGGGAGCACTGGTCAATTCTCCCCCACCTTCCATCCCCTCCACATGCAGCCCGGGGGACTCGGGTGGGACAGGCCTGTGCTCACCTTGCACCTCCACGGAGTACTGCAGCACGGCCTCCCCCGCGGGGCTGCTGGCCACACAGCTGTACAGGCCTCCGGACGCTCCCCCCAGGCTCTCCAGGATCAGCACACCGCCGTCCGCCTCCACCCACGTCCCGTTGCTCTCCGCCACGGGCAGCCCCTCGTGGTGCCAGGAGATGGTGGGGGGTGGGCGGCCTCTGGCCACACACTCCAGCGCCAAGGACCTCCCGGCCACGGCCTTCACCACGTGAGGCCCTCCGCCAGCACCCTCGATGGTGGGCGGGACTAGGAAAGAGGCGCGGGGGCTGCTCAGGGACCAGCAGCCTGATGAAGCCCCTCTCTGACCTCCTCCCATGTGAAATGCCTCCTTCCTCCCTCCGCTAGCTGAAATCCCTGTTCAGATGTCATCCCCTCTGGGGAGCCTCTCCCAGACCCCTGGCTGGAAGCCCTTCCTCCCTTCTCTGCCCCTTGGTGGTACCCACCCCCAACACACTGTTGCATCTTTTCTCCATGCCCTGCTACCCCAACGAGCTCTTGGTGAGCATAACAACGCTTGTCTCTGTGTGTCTCCAGCATCTGCACACAGTAGGCCTCGATATCTGCTGAACTCAAAGTGGTGGGTTCCCCTTGGGCCCCAGACCTGAGCCTCTGCTCCTACAGGTCCCTCCCTGACCTGAGGAAGTGGGCGGACTCTGGCCCAGGTGACCCGGCCAATGCGGGCTCCTAACTCAGCCAGCAATCCAGAGGGGGGCTTCTCTCTCCCCGCTGGGGAGGGCCCCTAAGTTGCTGAGCCCACAGAGCCAACGGCAGGAGAAACGGGGAGATGAGGGAACGGGATGGGCTTCTCAGCCGTGTTTGGGTCACAAGCCCCGCTGAAAACACACACATGCATTTTGCACTCCATTTCCAGGAGGACTTCAGATTCCCGAATAAGAGTCCCTGAGCAGGCAGCTGGGCTCATCTCCAGAGGTTGCCCTTAGAGCCCCCACATCCCAACTGCCCTTTGGGGTCTCCAGGGCTCCAGCACCCAAGCCCTTTGCAACTTGTATCTTTGGGGACCAGAGCTCCAGAGATGACTCTTCACAAGAGGCATGATGACCCCACCAGCCTGCATTCTGCCCTCTCAGCCTTCACCTGCTCGGACCCATCCCTGCCCCTATACACCCCTTCCTCTGCGTTCTTCGCCTGTCGTGAGAGCCAAGACCCTCCAGGCAGGCCAGCCCCAAGGGTAGCAGCACACGATTCACAGTCAGATGCTCTAGGTATGAACTGGGTCCCCTCACCTCTAGCAGGGCAACCTGCCCCAGAGCCCACCAGGCTCACCCACGAGTGGGGAGACATGGGCCCTGGTGCTGTAACTGCTGCTGTGAGGAGCCCCGGGAGGGCTGACCACAGGAAGTGATTGATTGAGAGCAGTTGGTTATTAATGATCACGGGGGCCTGAGTGCAGATTCATGAAGAGCCCTGAGGGGAGACCTGGATTCCTGACTTGCTCTGCCCGGGCCCCGAGACAGGCCCCCCTGTTCCTGGCCTGCTCCTTGCTTGTCTGAGGCGGCTCAGACGAGCTGAAATGACCCTTCTTCCTGGGTAACTCCTCAATCGCGGTATCCTGGGCCCCTGGCCGCTCTCCTCACCCTCCTTTGGAGACAGCTGGAGGCCTCCATGGCCCCGAGTCCCTCGAACCACCCACCCCGGCTGACTGACCGCTGCCCCTGGTGGCTCACCGTAAACCTCCAGCCTGGTGGCCTTCTCCACGTCCCCCACGGGGTTGCTGGCCTTGCAGGTGTAGATGCCCGCATCTGAGCCCCGGGCCCTCTCCAGCTGCAGCTGCCGGCCGCCCCTGGTGGAGACGACCCCAGCACCGGGGACCAGGGGGTCCTCGTCCTTGAACCAGGTGATGTCAGGAGTGGGGACGCCTCGGGCCTCACAGAGGAACTGCACGGGGTGGCCCTCCATGACGGCCACTTCACTTGTCTCGTTGGAACCCCAGATGGTGGGAGGTGCTGAGGACAACGGTGAGGGGTGCGGTCACAGGGAGCCTGCCCCGCACCGAGGCTGCTGGTGTCCCATCCCTAAAGGCTGCATGCACGTGCCCCTGGGCCACCAGCACTGCACACGTCACAGGCTCCTACTGCATGGGTGGGGAAGGCGTAGGGGATGGTGCGGGGGGTGGGGTCTGGGGGCAGATGTGAGAGGCCGGCTTGGGTGACAAGGGAAGCAAGCCTGGCCATCGCAAGAGGCGCAGAAGCTGGGGGAGGGGCCCCAGGTCAGGCTCTGGACCCCACTCTGCCTCTAACTTGCTGTGTGACCAGCATAGGTCACTTTCCCTCTCTGGGGTTCAGTTTCCCTATCTGTAAAATGAGGGACTGAACTGGATCACGGGTTCCCACAGGGCTGGTCACACACCACGAGTGGTAAGAGAATCCTCAGGGCACATGGGCCTGCATCTTGTAACAGAGCAGCTACACTCTCCCCAAATCTCCTTCCTGCCCAATTACAACAAAGGAAAAGGCGTTTGGTGTGTTTGGTGCCAGTGTGTTCCTAAACGTTCTAGCACTTTCTACCCTGCCCTTTCTACCACATGCAGGCAGCTCACGCCTGAGGGTTTCCAACATCCCTCTTTGGTCGCATTTGTTTCCCCAGCTTTCTCCCCCGAAGGCCAAGCGGCCCTGGTTCCTACTTCCCTGTGAGATATTAAACATCCTTTTAAATAAATGTGTTTCAGTGTAAAGAAAAGTGACTTGATTTATAGAAACAATCATCCTGAGTGGAATCAGGAATAGTAAAACTTGTGATGCTCGGATGGGATTTGGGAAACAGGCCAGATTCCCTCTGTCTTTCCCCCCATCCACCCACCTCCCCCCCCCAATACAACCCTGCTTTACTGGACTGGGGGCTCACTCCTCATAGGCCCCCATTTCTCTCCTCACCCCCTCCCCATGCAGTGGTCAGCCTGTGGTGGGGGCTGGGAACAGGCCGGACTCACAGTGAATTCTGAGCTGAAAATCCTTGGCCTGCTGGCCTGCTGGGCTGAAGGCCACGCACTGGTACCGCCCTTCATCCCCCAGGTGACTGCTGGTGATTCTGAGAACCTGGCCATCCTCCTGGAGCTGGACGTGAGGGTCCCCGGGGAGAACAGGTCTGGAAAGATGGTGGAGAAGACTGCCAGTAAGGCTGAGACACTGGTAGGGGCAGGCTGCACAGAGGGGAGCCTGCTGCTCGAGAAAAGGAAGACTGAAAGATTCACAGTCACCTAAATGTGCCAACAGCCCAAGTGCCCATCAACAGATAAACAGATAAACAAAAAACC